TCGTATATACGCAGCAAATCAACGTGGTTGACAGGTTATGACAGCGTCCTTATGTGCGACACCGGTGTTTTAGCTAGCAAAGCGGCGTGGCTGATGTGGAGTGAAGCCACGTTAATGACAACGTGTACAACCATTGGAGATGTGAGCAGGACAGACGGAACAATTGACGGAAAAAGTGTGGACTTTATACCAGTTTTTAAATTGTGTTGATAGGTCACGTAAAACCAGAGTTATGATAAAAATATTTGCAATGTTTGGTTTTTTCCTGAATACTATCGGTATTTATATTTACTGCGGGAAGAAACCGTAAAAACGGCGTTTTATAAGGAAAACGCTTGAAAGCACTCTCCGCTTGTGAGCAAAAACAAAACCAAAAAAACTCCACCCTTTCCTATTGGTGGAAAAATGTACCATGTTGACCAATCAAAAAATGATATGGCAACATGGCATTTAGATGTTTAGGAAGGGGGGAAGTTTTGGAGTGACGGCGGTGGTTTGAGATTTGCAACGTTTAGCGCAAATCTTGTGTAGTTAGTGTGTAGTGTAGTCCAAGGGTGTAGATTTGGTTTTGGCATTGGTGGGGACGGATGATTCAACCACCAAACCCTGCCCTGTTTCTTTTTGTTTTTCCCTTTTTGACTTTGCTTCTTGATAAAAAAAAAAAAAGGAGAAATATACTTGCCAACATATGCTATTCTATATGCTTTTAAACCATTTAAAATTAGAATTCATCTTTTTATATGTGAATTATATAATGTTAAATTACAAAATACATGCAGTCACACATGTGCACCACCAAGTCATCATTAGGGATGGGTACTGGTATCCGGTGCCATGATGGCACCGGTATCTGACATAAACGGTAGTAACCAGACCGAAAAGCAGCGCACATTTCGGTGCTTTATTTCGGTGCTTTTTTTCCCTGAGATGTCATACACTTTGGATTCCAGCCAATCATCTTACCTTTGCAAGCGTAGTAGGCGGGCCCAGGTACGTACATTCCTTTAGAGCAGAGCTACAGATTAAAAATGCCCAAGGCGAAGCGGTCAAAAGTCTGGCTGTACTTCACAGCAAAAGATGCAAACTCAGCAGCAACAAGTGCTTTAAGCTGATACTGTGATACTGTCAAAGGAGGTAACACCTCAAATCCGATGAAACACCTGGCGACGCATAGCGTTTTTTTTAAAAGCCGAGAAATGCACCGTATTTGATAGCTTGCTGCGAGACCTCACACCAAGCACATCTACTGCGGGTGTGGTGCCTGTTATCAGACCAGGAGTTAGCAACATCCCCCAAAAACCCAAAGAGGAGAGTCCTGGCCCCTAGCCCTGCCAGTGTAGCAGAAATGATGACGGATGACGATGGCAGCAGCAGCCGTTCTTCTCTGGGTCAGTAGCTTAATGTTGTTCGTGTGTAATTTACGTTGAGTAGGCTAACCACGTTATTACATTAATGCATGTAAGGTGAACTAGCAAACACCGTCGTAGTTACATGCGGATGTCTTCTTGTTTGATGGCAGATACTCCCTTCACCCTGGCAAAAAAAACTTAAATGACCAAAGAAAAAGTGGTAAACAGCTAAACATGAGAGGTTTTTGGACAAAGTTTGTGTTCTTCATTCTTTAAGCACCGGTACCGTTTCAAAAGTACCAGTTTGGTACTGGTATCGGATAAAACCTAAACGATACCCATCCCTAGTCATCATCCAATGTCACCTGTGATCTTGTATCACCATTCCTCTCTGAGCTTTGTGTTGGTTCTTCTGTCACCTGACAAATAGGACATACATGACAATAAGAATAAAATGTGTAGCTGCTTCAGTGTTTCTGTCAATTTGTGCAGATCTTGACTCATCAGTAATGTTTGTAGGGTGAGTGCATTTTTAACTACCTCATGATATTTTGTCTCAAAAATTAAGCCTATGAATATATCAGTACCATTAGGATGAAATCATTGTGTGACCAAAATTTTAACGTTAGACGTATAATTTCAACAGCCTCTGTAAACTAATATCCTGGCTTACTCGATGCTGCCGTTTTCTCTGACAGTTTCAATCAAAATTAGAAATGCTACTCTGAGACTGAGATAACTAATACTGCTGCCTGTTGTGCAGTTAGTTTCCAAAATACATTATTCATGGTTACATACAATTTTAGACTGATGTGGGCCAAAGCCTAGCATAGCCTGTAACGTTATTGTGACGGAAACATTTTATGAGTGAACTTGACTTTAAGTGACTTACAGGTTTCTTTGAAAAATACTTTCTTATATCCAGGTTCTTCCTTTTTGCTGTCATCCTCCTCTCCTCCTTGCAGGTCCTTGCAGCGCAGGCTTGCTGCTGCTAAAACTAAACAGAGCTCCCTGAAAGGCACAGCCAATCACATTGGCCATATTAGTCACATGAGGTAGGACTCCAGTAGAGAATGTAATTTAACTCTTTCTGCACCGCTGGGTGAATGAGACGTTGACAGATCTTTTTTTTTTCCTTTCTATCGGTTTTGCTTTTCTTTACTCAAAGAGACCAAATTATTGGTGGGGACAATTCAATAATAGCTGAATATTGGTGGGGACATGTCCCTTCCGTCCATGCCAAATCTACGCCCTTGGTGTAGTCAATAGTTTTGTTGTGTGTGTCAGAACAATGAGGCGACTGCTGAATGTTACAGCAGTTACAGGAGTGATACAGCTCCTGTTGTCAGGCCTGCAGGTATCAGGCTGTTGTTCTCCTTTATCTCATAGTGGACAGAAATTATTTTTTGGAGTGGCACAAATAATTTGTGTGGCATCAAATTTGATGCAGAACAGCTGATTGTTCTGTAAATAGTTTGAAATGTTTATTTAAAAAAACGTCTTGGCTGCATTTTTAGATAAACAGCTGCAAAAAACTTTTTTGCAAAACTCAGTTACTTTTTTGAAGAAGTAACTATATAATTAATTCCCCAACATTGGTCATTATATACTGTACTTTGCAGACAGAGAGTTACAGGACTCTCTCCCAGACCACAGACTCATACTCATAATACAAGTCAGAGCTTTATAAAAAAAAAAGAAAAAAAGTTTTGTTTTCAAAATTGGAGTTCAAGTTATTTTTACTTCCAATAGTGTTAACATACTACACAGGTCATGAACAAGATTTTTTAAATTTTCATTGTAAGTGGGCTAAAGCACTTAATTAAAAGTAGTCTAACATAAATGTAAATGCTGTAATTTGATTATTTTAATAAACCATGTAACTTGGATGGATTCGATGCTGGTGTGACCACAGTGCACACGTCTGCTGTCGCTCACAGTGGTCCAAGGGACGCTCAGGGAGTTTGTGTGTTTGCTCAGACACATGAAAAATTAGAGGGAACATTGGTCATATGGCCTAGCAGCTAGCTGTGAAATGAACATAAATTCTCTATGTTTTTCAATAGTGTTATTGGGTAATACCCCAATAACACATCGGTCTTTTGTGGCAGAGGGGTAAAAATATCAGTAGGCAGAACAAAATTCTGGAGTTTCCAGATGGTACTCTAATTAGTCTACAGCTGAGAAAAAGATTTTGTGAAATGTATGGATATTTTTCATTTGTGACACCCAAGTTGTAGGTATGGAAGTAGGGGTGGGTGATATATCAAATATACTCAATGTATCACAACCTTTTTGACGTACGCTGGTTAAAATGGTTTTATTGTAACCATCCACTATAAATTTCAATGACACTATTAAGCTGTCTGCAGGTAATTCACTATCAGTTTTTTTCCCCACATGCTGTGAATGCATCATTAATCCTCTCCCAACTGGAAATATTTCTACCTGGCATGCATGTTTATATACTACCAGATAGGGAAAAATATGTAGACAGCGGGAGTTTCAGGGAATGAGACTCGCTGTAATTTGGATTTCACAAAGAGGACGACAAACAAAATGTGGTCATTTGCAAAACATGCTGTAATACTACTGCCACTAAAGGTATAGGTACCACAAATTTATCCCAACAGCTGAAAAGTCATCCACTGTAAAATGAAGAATGTTTTAAAGTCCGCATATCAACCTCTCCCCACACACCAAAGAAAACATTAAATAATTCTAGTAATAGTTCTTTTGTTTCTGTAATTTGAGACATACTGTGACAGTACTGTCATTGTAAAAAACCTCTGTGTGCAACTGATGGTTAAAAAATGGTTAAAATGAAACATTTCAATTCATTCAGATTTTTCGTATTCAAAGTAGGAAAAAAATATTGAATTTTTGATTGAGTATACCAATCCATTTTAAGCACTATATGATTGAAAATAAATAATTATTTTAACATATCATAATATGTATCGTGTATCATGATATAGCCAAAAAATATTGTGATATTAGATTTTCCTCATATAGCCCAGCCCTATATGGAAGTTTAAAATAAAACAGCATATAAAAATATTTTATATATTTTATTTTCCATTACTGTGAAATACAGCTAGTATACCATTCAGAAATTGTCCTTGGATATCTATTGCAATGTAAAAAATTTTATTAGTTTTTAAATATGGAACTTTAGATTACGGCTTTTTTAACATATATTTTAATTAGTCAATACACAAGCGTTTAGTGTATCTGTCCCAAATTCCAGATCCAGGTTCAATTTTGAAAAATTTCAAACTTATGTCTGTCAGTTTTGTTGAGTTCAACAGATGAAAAAAAGCCTCAAAGTAGATGAAAGGCCCATTGTTCAAAGTATTTCATATAGGAAGCTAAAATTTCACAGCAATCGTTATATATGTCCAAATTTTAAACCATAAAATTTACAGGCAAATCAGTGACGGGACCAAGAAAATGTAATGATTTGAGATGGATTGACCCTAGAAATGTAATGCAAGGTGAAAAAGAACTGGCCTTGAATTGTGTACAATAAGATGTGCACTAGTAGATGAATAATGTGTAATAATAATGTGTGTTTTTCCATATACAAGACAAATTGTGTTCCACAAATATAGTCAGGTCAAAAAAATAAATAAAAGTACACATACAGACCTGTATGAACTGTGGCGTGAGGTCAGCTGTGAGGAGCCAGTCCTCCAGTCTTGGGTATTGAGCGAGAGCTTCAGGTCTTTCTCCTTCTGGTATCCTCTGCCTCAGCTGTAGCTGTGTCCACATGTACTTGGTCAGCTTCACCTATAGTGGAAGGCAACAAATACAATGTTTCACTCACTAAGGCACATAAAGAAGAAGATAAAGTCTGATAAGTATTATGCTCCAGTGACATAAGCAGTATAATGGAACAACTTTAACCTCCTAGGACCGGGTGTCCACACATGTGGACATCACATTTTGGGTTGTCTAGACCAAAATACTAAATTTTGCTCTACACTTATCCTGCCACTGTTCTATCGAAATTTAAAACGAATGTCCTCATATGTGGATCTCATTTTTCTCAGAAACAAAACTCAGGTAAAAAAATAAAACTCAGGTAATCCTTGTTTTTACATTCATCAGGTCCCAATCAGCCCAAATAGCAAAGAGAAATTAAAATGCATGCCATGAAAGAGTTCGGGTCTAAGGAGGTTAATGTACAGTCGTGTCAGTGTCCAAATATATATGACCTAAGTGTTGTTGTTTTTTTTTTTCTCAGCTTTCATTTAATTGTATCCACATTTAAATTGGATGAAGGGTTTTTAGGAGTTTCAGCTCCTTAACATGTGTCACCCTCTTTTTAAAGGCAACAAATGTAATTGGATAGTTGACTCAAAGGCAATATAATGGGCACGTGTGGGCAATTCCTTCATTATGTCATTATCAGTTAAGCAGATAAAAGGCCTGGAGTTGATTTGAGGTGTTGTGTATGCACTTGGAAGATTTTGCTGTGAACAGACAACATGCATTCAAAGGAGCTCTCCATGCAGGTGAAACGAGTCACCCTTAAGCTGCAAAAACAGAAAACACATCTGAGAAATTGTTACACTATTAGAAATGGCAAAATCTACAGTTTAGTACATCCTGAGAAAGAATAAGAAGAAAGAAAGTGTTAGGTTTCGTATTGTTGATTGTCATTTATGCTTAGAAATATTTAACCATATATGCTTAGAGGTGTATAATCAATTGTGTAGTGATAGGATGTGTGATCTTTAGTAGGCTGCAAAGGCTTGGTGTGCATTCCAGGAATGCACACCTACATCCTGGGAGCATGGGAAGAGGTCGTACCTTGTTTTAGTGTTTTACGGTAGGATTAACGTAGCTATGTCAGTTTTAGTCTAAGTGCTTTTTTACATATAGATGAACTGTTGGATTTTCCAGACCAGCAGGTTAAGGGAAGTCGTTTATGGGGCCACACTCTGACACACACACACACACACACACACACACACACACACACACACACACACAC